AATCCGATTTCCGCAGGCCCAAAGTAATTACCACAAAGCAACAATATGCACTAATGGTTGAGCTGTTACAGCAAAAACCAGAAATGGCGCAGGGTTTTACCAAGTGCMMAAAAGAAGAAGTGGCAGCTTTTTGGAACAACATGGCCCAAGAGCTCAACAGTGTTGGTCCGCCTATCAAGGATATTTCCAGCTGGAAGAAGGTAATAAATTTGTAGATTTTATTGTTGTAACAGGATAATTTAAAGCTTGTTTGACTYATTTGTTATTAGGTATGGCTTGACTGGAAGGCTTACATTAAAAGCAAATTGGTTGAGAATAAAAAGGAGCAGTCAGCTACTGGTGGCGGCAGAAATAGGCAGCACCATTTCAATGAATTGGAAGAAGCGGTGATAGCACTAACGGCATTGGAAACCAGTACAAGTGGTATTACGAATACAGTAAGCGGCTTACCTAATGTAGCAGACGTGGGCCATGAGACAGAGGCAGACGTTTCGATGCCATCAGTGTCCTGCAGTTCAGCACTGCCTCGACGTWCTACTAGGCGACCGGAAAAAAGTACAGCAGACTTTTTAARAGAGCAACTTGATGTTCAAAAAGAATTCCAAGACAAGGTTCTCGACAAAATGGACCACCTTTCGTTACGTATGCGACGAGTAGGCAGAGCATTGGAAATGCAAAACGATTTTAAAAAAGCGGAAGTTGAAGAATTAAAAAGACACAACGTAGCTATGGAAAATTTGGTAGCTGCTAAAAATTCAATTAAACAGAAAATGTTAGAGATAGAAGAACAAAAATTGCAAGCTATGACAAAAAATAATTAAATGAATTAAATAARTACTGAATTAAAACTRTAAATATTTTGTGTTAATATTTATTTAGGATATTATACTCGTGTAAGTGTTGCACATATAGTTTCTCTGATTTGTGAAGCTGCACCATTATAAGTTGATGAAACAATTTCATTACTTTCTGTAAAACTATTTGGTTCTGGTTCCGAATTATTTTCTAAACCTTCATCATTCACGCGTTGCCTTCCATTTGAGATGCCTTCCATGGCTCGTAGTGAAGCTCACGAGCACCCAGAAAACATCTAAATCGATTTTTAAAAACTCCTATGGTTCTTTCAACGATAGTTCTCGCTTTTGCATGTATTTTATTATATTTCTCTTCTGGGCTTCCTGAGGGAGGGGTACGGAATGGTGTCATTAACCATGGTTCTAAGGCATATCCAGCATCTCCTGTACAAATATTAAATTTTGGGAATTTTTGTAATATATATATTTGTATGTATAATACCCAAAAGCCAAGTGTTCCGTTCACCATCGAGGTACTT